AAATTATTTTAAAATAGGCAGTATTTTTTAGCATAGCACAAATAATAATTCGTAGATAAACTGCAAATGAGTTATTTTCTAAAATTTTCATGCTTATCGTATTTAATTAGCATTATCAAGAATCTTGATTCAAGATCAGGAGCAGTTTTAGTGTTCGAAAAAGAGGCATCTTCCTTCTCCCCAGATCACGTGACGTATGAAAAACAGGAAAGATATTCACACTCTACGTCACCAGCATCCAACCCCTTATACATAAATAGAGGTGGATTTATATTTCACTCCTTGGTAACTTACGCCATAGTTAAATTATAACATGGGTGCAAGTTACCCAGAAATTGGATTTTACTTATTGCAAACGACCACTTGTCCTCTCCACGTGCTGCATGAGTGCTCCCACGTGGGAGGAGAATTTGGACAACAGGAAAACCTGCACCCGGAAAAAAACGTGCACTGCTGCCCAAAACTCACAACTCGCCTAACCTGGAAATACATGGGGCATGTTTTTGGACACCCTGATTGCTCATTGCATCCAATAGTCCCTATTGCATTACCAATTTTCAGCCTTACCCTATTAATTTTGGATACTTTTAATGCATAATTAGTCTCATAATGACTTGATTAATGTAAATTTCTCAACCTGAATGGGTCAGTTTGTACGAAAGTGGTGAAAATTGCATGTGAAATAAGATAAGGTTGGGGGAACTGAAGAGGTGAAAGAGTGTTATTATAAATATGAAAATCCGTCCAACTCAATTTGTCCTCCTTCGGGAGGACATATACTAAAATTGGAACGATACAGAGAAGATTAGCATGGCCCCTGCGCAAGGATGACACGCAAAATCGTGAAGCGTTCCACATTTTTTTGCAAACTTTTTATTTGACGAAATTTACACAGAATTTGTTAAACATTTCACGGCAAAGCGTATTTCATTTTGAATAGGGTAGCATTAATTATTTTAAGATAAATTGTCTCGTCCATTGTCAAGGACAAAATTGTTCGGAATAATTAAAATTAGTGTTTCTCATTGAATTTATTTATTTATTTGAAATTAATCAGTATAAAATATTGCAGTAAATAAGTAACCTCATAAATCAATCAAAATGTATATGTATGCACGCGTGATTTACATTTTACAAGGTGTATATAATACAAATTATAATTTTAATTAAATATAAAGGGTGTTAATAAAGTCCGATCCCATGCATTTTTTCGAGCGTGGTTGTTACAAATTCAGCTGGAACTTTTGAACCAGTGAAGTTATTTATTTCAAATTTTTACCATGGGAGGAACAACTAAACGTGTAAGTCATGAGCATCTTAGAGTTGAGATACAAACATTGCATCAGCAGGGGCTTAAACCTACAGAAATTGTGCAAAAATTGGGCTGCAGCCGCAGAACTGTTTGGAAATGGAAGAATAAAAATTTTGTCCACGACAAAAAGCGACCAGGGCGACCCAGAAAGGTGTCACCTACCACAAAAAGAATGATTAAAAACAGACTTTGCAAGAAAACCGGTAGTTCATTACGTAATTGAGCAAGGGAGTTAAATGACTCAAAACGCTATAAAGAGAAGAAGAAGCAAATTAACTGTGTGACCGTGCAAAAATTTGTGAAAACTACGAAGTGGGGTCACACAGCTTACAAACTAACCAAAAAAACCTCTCATGTCACAAAAATATATCGATGACCGTCTGAAATTTGAAGAACTCCTTCAGAAAAGTGCCCATTTGAGTGAAAAAAGACTTGGTGAAGAATTGCGCAGTCACATCCTTTGGACTGACGAATCTATTATTGAACTATATCCAAAATTGAACCAACAAAATGTTCGTTACAGGACAGAAAACAAATCGGATGTACCATCAAGAGCGATCCCAAAATTCGGGCTTAAAGTTATGGTAGCGGGTGCCCCTCTACATATCATACCAAAAGGCCAATCAGTCAATGCAAAGCATTATATGGAAAAAATATTACCTATCTATTTCGATAGCATGGGGAACAAGGAAATATTTCCGAATGAAAGAAAAATAGTTTTCATGCAGGATGGTGCTATAGCCCATACAGCAAAAGCGAGTTTGAGTCTCATCAAGACGCAAGTTTCAACGGTCTGGAGCAAGGGGGTGTGGGCCGCTAACGGCCCAGATTTGAATCCCCTGAAGAACCAGTGGTCCATACTTAAGGAAAATGTATACAAAGAGCCACAACCCCGGACGAGGGAAGAGCTAGTAAAAAAAAGTTCAAGATGTATGGAATTCGATTTCCAGAGGCACAATGGAAAAATTAGCACAGAGCCTTAAACAAAGAGTTGAGGGCATGGTTAAAGTAAATGGTAACAAGACCAAATACTAAGGTAAATATGTCGAACATTTTTTGTAAGTATCACGGGTAGTTTTTTTTTATACTAGCCTTCACTTTTTTACAGGAAAAATGGGATCGGACTTTATTAACACCCTGTATTTGAACTCCTTATATTTATTACAGTTTTGTTCCCTACTTATAAAAATTTTATATTCATTAATGATTAAATTATTATCATTTTTCAAAAATGGAATCACAAAATGATAATCTTTTTGCAAGTTGTATTTTAGCAGATTTGCATCATCCACGGGTTATTTTCTGCATTTCTGAATCATGTCCCGTGCATAAAGTACGTGGTAATTTCTGATGACATAAATTCAGTAAATTGTCACACCTTGACTAAAAGGCTATACTTTAGTATAACAGCTTTTCGATATGGGGTCATACGATACGTCAAATTGTTCAGTTCGACGAGCTGAACAAGAATTTCGAAACCGGAAAGCGCGGAAAAGTCCCGTTCAAAAGTAATGGCGGGTCAAAGTTTCTATTTTTTACTAGTCTTTAAAGCCCACCCAGCGGGCTCCTAAAGCAAAATTTCTCTCGCGGTCATGCATACATGTGGACTTGATTTTTTTTCGAACAGCCTCTTTTAAGTGCACCTGTACAACGATTTGTTTAGTTATAGAAGACACATGCTATCCCCTTAGGGAATTCCCCTAAGGGGAATTCCCCTAAGTAACTGGTCTGGTTTCATCACTCCACTAGGGGGGTCAAGAAATCCAAATTTTCCTTGAGAGGATAATTTTGAATAAGTAATTATTACTATTTATAATTTTGAAATTGCACTTACGTCTTTTTAGAATTTTTTTGTGCACTTACGTCTTTTTAGAATTAAGCATCGAGTGCATTTACGTCTTTTTAGAATTAGTGCGACGATATGTGTATCCACAAATAGCTACATACATACTTATGTATTTTAAAAAATTTCGCAATTTTTTTTTTATAAATAATATTATTTATAAAAATTGCTAAGAATGGACGGATGTACCGGATAATATAATAATTATGAAAACATTAATCTATCAGTGTTGCTTAATTACTTGAGTTTGTAATTAATTACTAATTACTATTCGACGAGAGAAAGTAATTAATTACTTAATTAGTAATTACTAGTACATCAGTCAGGTAATTAATTACAATTTCAATTACTTCCGTAATTAGTAATTAATTACTCAATTACAAATTAATTACATTTTTGCCTGATCATGAAGGCAAATGTATTAAATTGTAATCAAAAATTAAAGTGTTAATTAATTTATATTCAAAGAACTGAATTACTACAAATACATTATTTTTTTGCAATGCAAAATGAATAACACGAGGACCCGTAAGAACAATCTTCCGAAACTGGTATTAAATAATTGCTGGCCGGAGTACATACATAAATGACTCTACCGGCATCGTAATATCGAGCATTAAGTAATGCTTATGGTAATGACAAATTTACCTCTCAGATGCAAACTATCACCAATCCGGTAGGAAATTAATGCCAGTACGGATTGTATAGGTTACTCTACCGAATTTTTTACAGTAAAAAGAACCAATCCTTTTCAATTCTTTCGTTAAGAATAATTAATGTCCACCGTCGTCTTAAAGAAGGTCGCGCAAATCAACATTTTACACAATGAGCATTAACATTTCAACTTACAAAGTAATTAATTACTCAAATAATTAATTACTTTGATACTCAATTGAAGCAAGGTAATTAATTACTAATTACAATTACATTGCCACAAAACTTAATTACTAATTACTTCTCGACTTTTTCTTGTAATTAATTAAGTAATTAATTACTTTTGTAATTAATTACAACAACACTGTAATCTATGTATGTACACATAGAACTGGTGACGATGTACATACAATGGCCAAATTTGCACGGTGCAAATAAATACGTAAAGATATGTATCACGTTTATCCGTTTTGTGTGAGCATAACCATCCCTGTGGTAACGCAAGTAGGATATTCCGACTTTGCTAATGGTTCAACATTTCTTATCATGAGGCCAAGGTTATAATCATAAACTGGAATTGTTGAGGGGACAACATTCTCGCGTGATAAGGTTGTCATTTTGATTAATTTAATGGCTCTTATTTACTGCTCGATGGATTTGATGGATCCTCAGGCTATCCAGTCGTGGAATTTTCTATTACAAAACTTACTGTTTGTTTGCTCAAATACTTAAAGCTGGTGTTACGCAAGTTCTCATACATATGTATATGTAAATATGTACAAAGGGATGCAAGCGTACGAATGATGTAATTTTTGTCAGGCCGAAATTTGGCATGTTTTATAATTTCGACAATTTATGTATGTATCCTCCCCTAGAAATTTCAGACTATGTATCATGGAAATAAAATGACTGTTAAAATGACTGTTAAAATGTTAAAATGACTGTTTTAAATACACACCTAATATTGGCGGTATGAAATTTGCAAAGCCAGGATGTTCGAAACCTGACAGTTTCTTTAAGCGAGTTGTGATACGAAATACACACATAAATCGTTGTGGTGAGTACGCACAAGGTTAATCTGTGGCTCATGGGTTTTTCATGAGTTGGATCTACTCATGTCACGATATATTCTATTTAAGTCACAGTTGAAGTGTGTAAAGTGTCAGTATCATTGCAGACTTTGCACAGATACATACATTCCGGCTCCGCCACCCTTCTTCTATACCCGTACTAAAATAAATTTCAAAAATTAGATCAGCCAACCTGCGAAGCGAATAAAACCATTGCTACGTAGTTTTGGCTAAAATATTTTTCTGCTTGCTGGCACCCGTCGAACCAGACGGGCAAGAGGACCCGTGTCCCTCCGATTATTTGGGTATACACACTATATACAATTTTCGTCGCCTGAAAATTTTAATTGATTTGATTTATTGCTTATTTATTTATTTATGTATTTATTTTCCTCACGCGTAATTTAAGCGAGGAAAACGGATTTTCTTTAAATTTGTCGAGCATTTTATTTATTTATTTATGTAAGATATATGCAAAAGGCAAAATATGGCACACAAGAGACAAAACGTCAATCAACAGTTGATAAATGTATGTCATTTTTGGTACGAGGCTTCCTTAGCTAGAGTACTATAAAAATTTGTTGCTCAAAGAGTTAGTTTTAGCACTACGATCAAATCCGATACTAAAAAATAAATCACTTTGTATGCACTTTTAGAACATCAAAAAGTTTTTCGTATGTATAGTAAAATAACGAGAGGTGTTTTTTTGCGTTTCGTTTGAATTATAGTGACTTGCCATGTTATCAGGCGAAGATTTGCAACTAATCTTAAATTTGAGCAGGCTTAATCAGTTATTATTATTATTTAAATACTTGCACATAATTATTAACAGTGAACGAGAGTTACATACGTTTAGAACCTTCGAAATCATAGTTTAGACAATTTTAGAACTTATTTAGACAAGAATTTCAAAAATTGTACATGCACAGTTGGAGTTAAGATTTACAAAATAAGGGAAATATGTATTTCTGAAGAATTTTTATTTTAAGGATTCGGATTTAAATATTCCAATGTTATTCTACATTTCTTTTTAAACTGCGTGATTACGAGAGTTCCCCTAACTAAATACGCCCCCATAACTAATTTGTGTACATTAATTACGCAAATATCTATGTTGACCCTGATAACCTTGCATTCTAGGAGGCAATAACCGATACCCAAAAAGCAATCCTTGTTTTTCAACCACCACCACTTTGGACGTCAATCAATCATTCCTCATTCCATCATAAACTCAACGTTAAGCTGATAAAAATCCAAATTTGAGTAAGTATTTATTACCACTTAAATGTTTATCAATATCACACAATTGATATTTTATTGCGCATTTACAAGTTCACGTTACAAAGTCCTTGCATTTTGTGGGAAGATAAAGGGGAAAAAATCCTGAAAGCCACATCAGGAATAAAATAAACTGAGGCAATCAAAATATAATAAACGCACAAGTGCCTTTATGCCATGATCGTATTTGCTTCAGCCACGCCCACTCAAATGGGCGAAAGACTCGAAAAAAGCCCTGTTTTCTTCATTAACCTTTTAAGGACGAAATACATATATTTGTGTATTTCAACAATTTTGCCATTGACTATCAAAAAGATAATGAAAATGGGAAAAGTTGAAAACCTTGATTGGAAAAAGTTAAAAATTTGGAGACTGGGGCTTTTCTCAGCGAAAATTTTCAACTTTTTCTATATCAACACAATGTTAAAAACTGGAATTTTCCAGTGTTTAACACTCCACTCCTTGTGTGTATCCAAGAGGTAATCCTTCATATCAAATTTCTCTTGGACTCTGAAAACACTTTCACTTTTATACTCTCAGATACTATTGCTTTCTCATATCCAAGATCAAACTCATTTTTTTTAATTTTGATGTTTTCGAACACACCGTCAGGAAATTTTCAAAAATTTTGAAAAAATTCAAAAAATTGAGTTTTTCTCGGATACGATAAAACAACTATCTGAGAATATAAATGTGCAGAAATTACCAAAATCGGTTAAAAATTGGGTTTTTGGCGAGCCTTTGAAGATGGCGATTTTCGTGTTTTGCTCCCCTTTGAGTGGGTGTGGCATGTGGCCATGGCATTACACCTGTTGGGGTTTCGTACACTCAGGAGATGTGGATACAACATATCCACATGACTTAAACAAATTCATAATTTTGACTAGTTTCAAAACTAAATGTCATCATGCACAGTCATGTTTAAAGTACTTATTTTGCATGTACATATGCATAGTTGCGAAGGCGAAAAAATTAACGGCACTGCATAATAGGAATGTTATCTCCTTTACAGTTTTAATTAAATAATAATGGCTACTCAAGCCGTCATAAATATACTGAAACCGTCAAACAAAAGTGCATTCATACCGTGCCATGATATGAACGTATTCACATTTATAAGTACAACTATCTTTATGACATACTACAATAAATTAGTTCGGTAACACGGAGCATTCCATCAATTTGCTTATGTGGTCACAAACCTATGGAATAAATGCGATATAGGGTTCAGCATAAATTTGTAAATAGTTCCAATTATTGTTGGATTACCGTATGAATTGTACTTAATGTACTATACTGCAGAGAAATTAAATAATAATTGGACGAGAGACATGGTTCTGGTGATCTAATCTGCTTTGGAGACGTTCTGAGGACTATATAAATACGGATAAAGCAACATTTTGTTATTAACCAGCAACCTCTCGTTCCAGGTCTGTAGATTTGCATAAGCATATAAGTGTGATGTGGAGGGTCTTACTGCATATGACTTAATCCACATGGAATGTGGGGCACGACAAATTAAGCAGATATGTATGTAAGTGTGTATATATAGTTAAGTTTGTTGATGTTTTAACTGCGCGTGCCGTTCGCGATTTTTGGTCGGGAATCCGCACAGTGTCAAAATTTACAAAAATTTGCAATAATTGCAATCAATATATAAAAGTTAGAAACACATGACTCAGGCTAAAGGCTCACTTTATTCAGAATTTGAAACCGTGTCAGATGTTGTTTTTAAGTGAATTTTAGACTTTTTCAAAATTTACAAAACCCCCTTTTTGACCACACCTACCTATTTACATATGCACAAATAGAAATTCAAATTAAGTACACACAAATGTTATCCATCTCAATTTGATTGGGTCAATTATATACACAAAACGATTTATGATAATATTGTAAAACATTTCTTAACACTGTGGTCCCAGTGTCGATTTATCCTAAGTTTGTAAAGCAATAAATTAATGGACATGGTAGGTTAGAAAGTCCATTATAGCTTACTCACTTTATTTATTCTCGCCAGACACACAGCCCGTTATGCAAATATATGTATGCATATTGCAGTCATCAGATTAGTTCATTCTACTCGTGTTATGCGAAGGAAAATAGAATCTTATCTTTGATCAAGGGATTTTCTGTGGGTTCAAGTTTTCAGTGCAACATTTTACTGCGTGCACACTTAATGCTCATTATGGGACTATTTTTCATAAATGTGTCTTGCTAAATTGAATAATAAACTAACTTACACTCTTCAGATTACCTTCTGACTCGCCAATCTCTGCCGTTTTTCTCTGTCTTGGGTAAGTTGTTGATGACAAAACAAATTCGCATATCAAAAAATAATTAGAATGCCCATTTTTTATAACGGTTAGTAACTGCCTACATTTTCAAGAGGTTTGCCTACCTCATCGTCATCAGCTGACTGAGGACAGGTAGACAATTGCTATTATATGAATTTAAACATCCTGTCATTAAATTTGGATTCGATTTTTTAAATATTTTGTAGGCCGAGACATGAAGAAGTTTGTAGAGGAAGATATCATAATCCTCCCAAACATTGAGAATGGGCCGGTATGGATTGGCGACTTGTGGAACTGTCAGGACTCGAGTCTGGTCGGCTCCAAGCTATTTTCCTCCCTTGGTGAACTGGACGTCCATCCCTTGGGAGATTATGCGTACGACTTGACCCACATCAAAAGCACGAAGGATCGCATAAAGCCCCTCAACGTGGAAGGCTCCCTTTTCCTGGAGCTCTTGTCCGGCTTGATAAAAGTGGAGGGCAGCGCAAAATATGACTTTGAGGATAAGTCAAGCTCCTTGGAAGAAGAATTGGTCTGTCGCTACAGCCTACGGACTTTCCGCGTGGAAGTTGTTTCAAACGCAGTAATTAATGACCTCGTCCGAGATAAAATCCTCAGAGGTAAATATTTATTACAAATTAAATCAGTGGAATTGAGAGTGACACAAAATATGAATGAATGTTACGTAATTAATTGTATGTACAATGTGAAGTTGGTATTAGGTCAAACGTCAATTGACTCCATTGTTATGTTATCGTCCACATCAACGGTCAAATATTCCTATATTTAAAAGAAAGGGTTCCCGAATGCCCATCGAGTCATGCAAATTATGAACCGGGCTAACATGGTATACTATTGACATGGGTGGAGAGTCCAGGGTACCCACTACGTTTTATTAGAATGTATTAGGACCCCAGATGAAGGATCCTATTATATTTACATGCAAAAATCATATTAGATTGCTAGTAAACGTCCTACACCCCAAAGAGGTGGTGTATTTAAGTACGTAAATTTCATAGTATATTTAACTTAATCATACAGTCCATGTGAAAATTTAAATTTCATCGGCGCCAAGTCTAACTCATGTTTGTGGCTAAGGCTGAGGTTTCATAATTAGCGGCTCCGTTGTTCACAGCAGGGACACATGTGACACGCCAACGCCTTATGTGTGAAGGCGGTCCGATTCAATTTGCACAAATTCAACAGGGTTTGAAAAAATCGCCTAATTTGCGGCTGTCTAAGTGGACTTGCAACAAAAATTGCTGCTAGCTTATAAATAGCTAGTATGTCATGTAGGATTAAATCTCACTTACAACAAAAATGCTCATCTACATGGCCATTTAATGCATGCTAACAGGACCATCATGATGAATAAATTCTAGGACTTATTTGCGTATCTTCACCAAAAATCCAATTTTGCTCGGATTTTCAAAAAAGTTACATATTCTTGATCCCAGATAATTGTTTTATCATATCCAATAGCAATATCAACTTTTTTGAAATTTTCACTATTTTCGAAAATTTCGTGAGCAAGGGTTTCACTTGAAAAAATGCAAAATTTAAAAAAAAGTTGAGATTGTTATTGAACATGATAATGCAGCTATCTGGGATGGCATAATCTAGTTTAGCATTTAACATGCGCACCTTTGAGTGGGTGTGGCGGGCGCAAATGGGGCCATGGCATCAAACCGTTCACTGTGTTTTATTCTCTCATCGGGTACTACGACATATCCCAAGGACATCGAAATCTGTTGATGGCAATTATTGAAGCTTTCCTCCTTAGTTGGGAATATGCATGAATAATTAAACTAGCAAAATCACGCCTGACAACTCTATACTCACCGCACTGTCGGGATGTGCAGTCAAATATGACTGCACATCCCGACAGTTCTGGCCCCATTTTTACATTTGCAATAATATCCAATTATTGCTTCCGGTCCCTCGAAATGTGGCATATACTTGATGATCCAACCAAAAAGAGTTGCATCATATAATCGATGTGCAACTCTTCTAATCTTGCGGTGGATTCCTGGAACCCGCGGTCTAGGGTGGCCTTATCTCTAGGTCTGAGAAACGTCAATAAAGAGTACTCTTCGGCAGGCAAATCCGGTGATGGAGTCAGCATTGACTTGAGGATCCTCCCATCATTGTAGTTGTTGTCACCGTAGTACGGACCGTCCGCTGCCAGAATGTATCCAGTGTCTGTTGTGACTACAATTGGTTTGCACAGATTTTGTAGCTTGTAGTTGGAATAAGTTTGGCGTTGCAGTTGGAATGAGGATGATTTCTCCAGATACAAATACGTTGCATCGAAAACCAAGCAAATATTCTTAGGAGGTAAAGTGATCAGGGATCTCACAAATGGCGATGTATGTCTCAATGCTATTTCTTCCCATGTGATGTGACACGAACTATATCCCAGAAAACGTGGCAAAAATCTCTTCGCCAACGATGCTGTGACGCTGCTGAGGACATCGCTAACACTGGACTGGTGCTCAATTCCAAGTAGAAAAGCCAATATTCTTTGCGGGAGGTCTAATCTTAGCTTCACAAGAAATATTGCAAGGGCATTCCTTGCAGTTCTAACTGGACTGTTTCTAATGTCTTCCCGGCGCCCGGCAGTATTTCAGTACTTGGTCGAACTGTTCACGATTGAGCCCAGTGAAAATCTCGTACTCTTCAGATACCATTTTCGAATCTGCGTTGAAGTCGATCGGAAGTTGTTTCCTAGTTGCTTCCTCCGTGATGACATGAATCCATTCCACCAATTCTGAGTTCGTGACCCGCACGTTGTCCCTTGTTCCCTCAATTATTTGTAATGTTGGTTCTGTGAACGTGAAACCCATCAAATGATCACGACAGCATCTTGACCCCGGAGATATGTACACTTTTTTTCCTTAGCCAAGTCTCCTTGATAGCTTGTTTCGGAACACGAGACCGACCAGACGGATTGAAACACAGGGAGCATCGACACTCCGAATTGGAGTAGCTTCTTATTCCATGAATTACGTGTGTAGATTGAGCACACTGTGATGATGACATCGAAAATGTTGCGACCGCAATAGAGACTTGAGATTCAGAAATAGGCACCGACTGATCCGTTATTTGAGAGAGATCAGGGTTTAGGATTGGTTCCGAATTTAAACTGAAGTCTTCACAGTCGATGTGGTAGGATAGTTCTGCATTCTCGTACAAATCGATGAAAGAGTCCACGATATCATTTGGCATTGGTTCGTGATAAAACACACGTTGGGATTCCTACATATGTAATTATAATTTGAAGTGACACAATAATTTAAATAATTTTGGAAATGCTGGAGCAATTACCATTTGACTTGTCTCAGTAATTGGGTCAGATAATAACTCAATACTCCAGAACGAGGTCATGTTGCAGAGACTCCTCTTGGTGGTTTTCATGGGGGCAGAAGTCCGGAGCATGATCAGTCGTTAACTCTAGATTTGTAGCATCTTTATAATTCCTTTCGTCGTCGTCTTCTCCCAACTTTTGCCGTTTTTGAGGGAGATTTTGGCTGCCTTGGTCTCTATTCTCTCGTAGCCGTCTCATCTTAACATTCGCCACCTGACATTATAGCCATTATTTAATTAATGAGTGCATACATAAAAATAGTCATTATGTCTCACCTCAGAGTGGCAATGATTGCAGATGAGGTCATTGCGACTGTATTTTCCCTATCATTTCCAACAAGTTCACAAAAAGAATCCCAGAGGTACGAAGTCCTGACTCGATTTGACTTCGTCACCCTCTTTGTGTGGCACAGAGCGCAGTTTCTTTTTCTCTTCGTAATTAACCACCTAGGGTCTTCAAAATAAACATAAATGATGCCAAAAGTGATGCTTCCAGTATTTAAGGTATTTTTGCAATGATTTTCTGCTGTTTGGATGGGTCATAATATTATTATCCGGCATAACTACCATGATGGTTATCAAAAATTATGCAAACAAAATTAATTTTCGCCCAATTTCCATGCAAAAACCCTCTTGGGAAGCAAGGAGTGACCCCATCACGCCAAAATAAGAGATTGCCAAGAGGAGGACTAATCAATTATTTATTAGTTCCCCCAACTTTTCTTAAGCGCACCAACTATCCCTTACTTTGGCGTATATCATTTTTAAGTCGTCAAAGTCTAGCCCAGATTGATAATCTTCCGCGGTGGGGACCTTTGGTCGATGACAAGGTTCATTAATTTGCTGTCATACTTAAACTCCACTACCGACCTATAAACTGTACTGTGCGACGGATTAGGTTCGCAGGAATCTTTGTGCAATGTTTCCGGAACATTAAAATTGAATTTTTAACGTTAACAACCGAAACGTAAAAAATGCCATTTTCTCCTAAATTCCATTTTTACTACGATATCTGAATTTGATAAAAGTTTGTGAAGGAATAAGATATCCAAATCTTATGATTTTTCAGGCGCAATTTATATGATGTAGGATGAATGAATTGAAAAAATCCTAGTTTTGTATCTTATCTCTGAAGGTACGATAGCCATTACTAACTGAACCTCCCTTGGAATTAATCAACAATTAGGTTTACATGTATGAAATATGGAAAAGTTGATGGTTAACACATTGCGGCTGGTAATATGACTGCTGGTAAATGTCCGGCTGCCTCTCTTTGTACCCGCAAGATATAAGACTTCCCAAAAAGTATTTACTTCGATCGTCAGATTTTGAATTTTTTCCCCGGAACCGTTTTGCTCTGATCCTTAAAACTTTTAGATTTCTCCAAAGTATACTGTCCGTGTATAATTATTAAACATTATTCTTTAATGTGTCTGCTTAATATTTTTTTTTTTCAGGAGAACTCAAAGCAACCCATGTCGTGAAGCAAGTGCAACTGGGAGCCCACATCTCTGCAAATCTACGAATTCGCGACAAGACATTCAAAGTTAACACTGAAGCGGATGGAAATTTAACTCAATCTAGATGTACAAGGAAAAGAAAGTCAACTTTTGACGGAAGGTCGAAAATTTTTCAAAGTCGCTACCGAATGTCTACAGTTGTATAAAATTCAGCAAAAGTCTGCCCAAGATTTAATTACTCTGGGGAATGAATTTAACGAAAAATTGGGTCCTACCATAATTCAAGAAATTTTGCAAAATTTTGTTTCTGAAGGAAATTCTGAGCTGTATGGGGTAGCAGCTTCAAACTCAACTCCCGAATGTCAAATCCACACAAGTTTTGCTGCCCAACAGAACTGGTTGCAAACCAAATGTTTACCCGTTAAACTGTTGTTTTTGTCTGCAAAAAATTGTAAAAACGGCTCCGACTTGGCTCAGCTTTACTCAATTGCCAGCCTCCTAAAAGGAATTGGAATTGATGTTGCGATATCCCTTCCATCAGTTGGAGGTGAAGAGCCAATCACTACCCCAAAAATTTCAATAAAAGCGAAATCCGACCCAGAAGAATTTGAGGATGTGGGTCATGTGGTTCGCGTGCTTTCTCTGATGGTTGATCAGGTCAGTGAAGTTGAAAAACGATTTTTCACAGCCTACTGCGCTACGCGAGGAATTTCATTTCCCTTGTCCAGTCATGTGAATGAAATTGTTGGACTCATAACAATTTTGAAACAAGTTAAAGGAATTAAGATTGCAAATAATTACATCCAGTTGAGAGAGTGCCTGGTCAAATCTGAGACCGCGTACTCGTTCGTTATCACTATGGAGGGATGGAACTACTTTGAATGCGTTGCCGCATATAATCTTTTGTCAGTTTCGTTGGCTGAGGACACATCTGTACAGTCAATTGTTGGATCCTTTCAACTCCGTGGCCTTCATAAAGAAACACCATTGGCGTTTTTATTTGAGGGAGAAACACTTTTAGCTGTGGCTGATGATACTTTGGAGCTCCAAATTTTAGTTGATGGCATCAAAGAGAAAAATGTTGAGGGTAACATAAAAGAATTCATGGAGGACCAGAAATATTCTCTCAACGAACAGAGAACAAATTTCCAGGCAGAAATTGTAGACTTATTTTGCAAACGAAGAATGGCTGCAAGAAATCCTACTAGCAACCTGTTTAAGCAAGTGTTCCCTATTGAACCTGCCAAGGAAGTGGAGTTAGCCATCAATTACCTTATAGGTTGCCTCATTGTTCCGCTAAATAATATGTCGTTTGGTTTGGCGTTTTTGTTGCAACTTTTGAAAATGAAAGATCCATCAATTCACATGCCAAGGGAAATTGAGGCTGAACTTGTAAAAGCAGACCCGAGTGAAATCAATTTGGCCCAATACTATCCCCAAATACTGACTTTATTGAATACAATCAATCCTTTCCAGTGTGCGGTGAACGTTGCAATACAAAGATTGAAGAGTCACCCTCAATGTGAAGAATCAGTAGAAGAAATTAAGCTATCTATTTTAACCGTAACTAACCACCCGGCCTGTGTTAGCCAGGTTAAGGAACAGTTGATGAATGCAACAGAAGCAGATCCATACTTAACCGAAGTTACAAGAGTATTCTTTCCATTTTGGAGAAATGCACAGCTCAAAGCGAAGAAACTAAACCAAATTCTCGAATTATTTCAGCAATATTTGGCTTCATTAATTCTGCCTCACCAAAAACTTCAAATCCACCAGCAGATTTAAATAACCAAAACATGTACTCGAGCTATTTTAAGGATACGTTCTTGCAAGAGTTTGTTTCCAAACTGAACAGCACCGTTGCAACAAAATTGGAGAAGAACTTACAGCACCGCAGGTATTACGAAGTGCTCAGCGATCTAATGCACCTAGCATGCGGGAATTCGTCCCTGTATCAAGTTCGAATCCTTCTGGAGGATACATTCACATTAGAAACTAAGCAATTGACACACTTTCTACAGACGATTCTCCTCCTCAACTTGAATCAACAAGAATTTATTTTTCAGAAGAGCTCAGTGAAATATTTATTAAAACGAGTGCTAAATTCTGAGAATTGCCTCGAACTAATTCAAACAAGACTTTGCTCCAATAGTGTGCCTGACTTCTTGCCAGACTTTCTAAGGGAAAAGTTAACCCCGATTCAAAGTGTTGGAGAAGGGCTGGTTCAAATCCCTGAAAAGGTGGAAACGGTGAAGGAGTTGTTTGACATCTCCCAACAGCTTTTTCAACAGGAAAACATTCCGACCGACTATGTCCGACTTGTATTGAACTCATTGGCAGAAAACGAGGAAATTAAAACTGCTCTCAGCATTTCCTCGGATGAGTATGGCTACAGCGAAGAGCAAAAGGTTTTCAATCGCCCGTTTAACAAGGACACCCTCAAATTCGCCCGTGAAAAAATGCGAGAGTACATGGATAAGCCCAAAGATTTAGTAAACAGTAATCCTCCCCAAGACTGTAAAATTATTCTAGATAATCCAGCAGCCAATCATTCTTTGAATAATATAATTGAGCAAAATATTCAGCGTTCTACTCTTCCGGAAACTGCAAATGTGCTAGCCACCCGTGGTTCCCTTCTACTTGTTGGATACCATCCTTCAATTGACCATAAGAGATTTCTAAGGGTACAGAAACTTTTACAACAACCACGGTTCAACCGGAATGACAAATGCGAAGCAATTATTTCTCAGATTCTGCCCTACATTTTACAAAAATTGAAGATGTGGGGAGTTTTCGTTTTGGAGGATAGATTGCTAGATCAAATGCTTCCAAATTGTCAGAAGATTCCAACTGTTACCGGTGGAGGTAAAAGGTTTCGCAAACCAGGGGACGGTAGCGAATGCAATGCATCGGTTGTTCACTCAGCCATACAACAACCAAATCAAATTAAATCCGATTGGGATTCGATAACAATCTCAAAACTGGACATTTTCTCCAGCCTAGTGTATCTCTGTGACCCCCTCGTGCTCCAGGATATCATCAGGATTCTAACCTTTTTCCCATTAGCAGTACCATTTATACTGCCGCAACTAAATTTTTCCCTTGATGATGAACCCACCAACAGAGGATTCACCTCCATGAAATTCATTTTGCAAGAAAGTTCCATAAAATGGGAAACCAAGTCTGGTTCTATGGTGCACAACAAACTATTTGTGGATCCTTACAAAATGATTGTTGCCATCAGAATCGGGGCAAGCTCTGGACGGGAAAGCGGAAAAAGTACAATTCTTACCCAACTGTTTAACGGACGGGACACCTTTGCCTCAAAAAGCAATGCTGGATCTGAACGTGGGCCACCAAAATGTTTGTCAGGGTCGGCCGAACTCGTCGTTTTAACAAAGGAAACATGTTCCCCTCGTCTTTTCAATTGGCAAAATGGGATTGATATAGGAAAACCACAGCACTCAATCGCCTCCCACTATTCATCTTCAGAACTAGCTGAAGCCCTACTCTTAGTAAATCTACACGGAAACGGGGCTAAATTACCACATCATATCAACTATTTGAAGAAATACGCTTCTGCATTCCTTGTATTTTTTGCGGACGCTGCTTTTCCTAAAACCCAAGAAGAGTTTGACAAAATTTCGGAAATGTGGAGTGGAACCCAGTTTTACACCGTGATCATCGACCCCTCAAACGAGAACGCAGACGGGTCGTCAGATGGTATTGTATATACGAGCGATCTTGTCAACGATAGCAGTCTGGACGGGGTTAGAAATTGCTTGGCAGAATGCATTAATTTTCAGCGGATGGAGCAAAGGGATGCCGATCACCAGAATACGAGCCTTGAGAAAATTCAACCAGTCACACCCATTTCCACAGTATTGTCTTCACAACTTATCAATATTTTGGAAACTGACTCTTGTGGCTTTGTAAGGGAACTATTGAAGTTGCAAACAAGGGGTGCGAATGCTTATGGAAAGCACAAAGATGTTGGATCTCTTCTGGAAAGTTGTGGAATTGGGTCAGCAATATTAATAAAAATAACAGTCTAATCGGGATCCTCACCTTGCCTCTCAATCAACGGAAGCTAGCTTTTGCTCATCTTGATAAAGGAACGTCCACTCTATCTGCTAATCAGACCAAAGGGCAAAAGTCTCATCTTTTCAAACTTTTGCAACAACGATGTAGCACCGTGCCTCTAAATGTTACCCAAAACTTACTTCAACAAAATGAAATACTTGAGCAGAAAATCCGTCTTACCTATAAAGAAATTGAAAATAACAGTTTAGGCCTAGAACATTTCTACAGAGAACTGGGAAAACTATACGAGTTGGCTCAGACTTTCCCAAAAGAACCAAACAATTCGAGGCTCATTTCGTTGCCCACATTTTACGGTGAGTTGTTGGCCGAAGGGCACGCAATAGAATTATTGGACGGGGACAATGGTCACTTTCATGGAGTTTGGTTTGACCAGATTTGCCACTCTATTTGCAATATCAACCCAAAAATCCGGATTTTTGTAATTAGCATAATTGGACTACAATCCTCAGGCAAGTCTACATTGTTGAATGCTCTATTTGCTTGCAAGTTCGCCGTCTCCGTAGGTCGATGTACCAGAGGACTCTTTATGCGCCTACTGTTTTTGGAAGATGACTTGAAAGGAGAATACGGAGTGGATGCTATTTTACTAGTTGACACTGAAGGACTAGGGGCCCCAGAAAAGATGAATGACCCAGACTGCGAAAGAAAGGATAGACAACTTGCCACCTTTGCTATGAGTATCAGCGACTTAACTTTGGTAAACGTTATTGGAGAATCCGTTCGGGACCTCACTGAAATTTTGCAAATAGTTATTGTCACCATGGCTCGACTTGATAAGGCCGAAATGACTCCAGACATTTTAATGGTGCAACATTTAACAGAAAGAGATGCAACAAAAACCCTGCGAGGTTCCGAGGAATTTTGTAACGCCATAAAAGAAGCTATTGACTTGACTGAAAAGAAAGAAATGGACATTGGAATACGGAACAGCAAGTCCCTCACCAAACTTCTTCAGCGGGTACAGAATGGGTCGCATCTCAAGCAATTTCGCCCTTTCAAAAATGGATCTACTGTAAATGCTCCACCGTCAATGGAGTATCACGAAGATGTTGTTGAGTTGTATTCAATAATTCTGGAATCCGTGAAACAAAAAGTCACTCAATATCGGGATCGAGAGTTTTGCACTTGGCACAATTTAATTGGAAGTTACTGGGAAGCTGTAGAAGAGCAGGATTTCACACTTCGATTCAAGAACATCGCGGCAATAAATGAATTTATTGATCGAGGAGTGAAAATTGCTAAGGTTAAGCAGGCAGCAGAGAAATCGTTTTCCTCTCACGCCGCGAAACACAAGGTCGCGTTCTCGGCCAAAATCAAGGAATTAGAAGACAATTTAAAAATGGAATCGTGGGGAGTTGAAAAAGAAAATCTAATGAATATTGTAAAAATCGATCTCCGGTCAATTCCAATTTCGTGTGGGTCCACTAATTCTAACCCACCGTTCGACCAGTGTTCAACATTTTTGACGCTGAGAAACGATCTGTACACACAAGTTGAAAACCAGCCTTGTGAAGTTGATACAAAAGACACAATACAAAAATTTATCATAAGGACGCGCGAAGGAATAATTCAGCAACTGGATCAGGAAGCGAACGCTAGGAAAATAAGATTTGGAAAATTTTCTGAGCTGGATCACATAATACAGAAATGCCTCCTCGAAAGTGGAGATGACGGCTACAGCGAGCGGAAAGTTGAAATGGTGCTACCAGCTGTTAAACGGGAGGTTTCAACTATGCTAAAAGTAGTCCCAGTAAAGACAAGGATTATGGATGAAATTAGAAATTACTATAAAAATGACTCTGCTGTCCTGCAAGGTTTGAATACTGGTCGTATTATCTTCAAAGAATTTCGTGACATTGAAGCAATAGATCCTAACTGGTATAAAAAAATTAAAAACGCCGTGCTAGGGTCCGATGGCACTCTTAGTTTGCATCTAATTAATGAACTGGAAGCTACTTTGGGAAATTTGCCTGTGCAGATGCTGAAGGAAAGAAAAGAAGACATTTTTCAGAATGGAATGACTTGGACTTTCCGAACAAACGTAAACGAAATTTTGCAAGCATTCGAAGACCAAAGGCTCGAGAAAAAAAAGCTAAACTCGAACTTCAAATGGGAGGCCCATTTATTTGCCCTTAACAAATATTTAGTGGAGATGGAGAAAAGGGAAAAACTGTGGAAACGTGATAACGACCCCTTACATATTTTGGAGAATAATATATCAACTTACAGAGAGGTAAAAGTCTACTAATACCTTTATATATACATTAAATGCAAGTCGCAATAATTGTGTTTTCTTTATTTCCACTTAATGTAACTAAATATGTGCGAACAATAAGATTGTGTCCTTTTGAAAAATTTTGTAGATGATAAAAGTCCGGCTGGAGAACGGATATGGATCAGAGGCGGAAGGGAAGATTTTATGCAAACTATTATTTGAGGCGATTAGGAAACGCGCACAACAATTTGCAGACAATCATCAAATTACGTTCGTTCAAAGTCAATCCTGGCTATCAAATGGACAAAGAGTCCGTCTAAAGTATTTTGCTGGATTGGCACGACAAGTAAATGAACAAAATAAGGAACCAGCATTGCAACATTTTAAAAATCCAAAGAGAGCAATTAATCAGTGGTTTAAAACTAAACTGAATTCATTCACAAAGGAAAGAGCAATCAGAGCTTTTAAGGACACTATTGCGGCAGAACTAGCCAATGTAAGACAAAACCTTGCAAATTCTGCGGATTAATTGACCATGAAACGTTTTGCGGATAGCTATCTCAACGTTTCAAATGAAATGGTGTACAAACCAAAACAGACACCTGAGCAAGTTGACTTCGTTCAGCTTAAGATCTCGCTATTAAAAGCTTTTATGGAAAGTGAGAAAAGACAAGAATTGGAGGAAAACATTACTATCGTGGATCTGTCAGAGGTCGAAAGCTTGCAAAATTTGATGGGTTGTACTTTTCATTGTCTTCTATGCAACGGGATTTGCTGGGGCGCAAATGGTCATGAAAACGATAGCGGTCAGCAAGCCAAACATCACACTTGCCATCAACCCATGGGTTTGGCGGGATGTAGTAATAAATACACCAAAGTACTCTTGCACCGCTCTTGTGACATGGAAAGGGACAGTAATGTTTGGTGGCACAATAACGAAGAGAAGACCACATGGAAAAAACTCACTTACCTCCCAGAATATAGAAATTGGATTTATGAAGGACACTCATATATGAAGGAGTTCGATGACTTGATGAAATGGTTTTTTGTAAATCTTCATGCAGATATTGCTTCTCGATCTGAGGGAAAATATGCACCAGCCAATATCCCTAGTGGCTTTCTTAGCTACGAATTTAGTAGTATTTTGTCAACCATTCAAGCAAAAATTGGATTTGAGTAAGAGGTGAAAATTATTTCTGTTACAAATTTTACAATCTAATATCTGCATTGCGTCTGATTTTATTTCTATATCTAGAGACATTGATTTAATGGAGCCGAACATATTTTGGATTGCAAATGTTATACTGTTTGTCGATGCAACCTTGATGGGTGTTTACACATTTTGTTTAGTAGTAATTAAATTTATTGCATTTTGCTATCACTATTAGAAAGTTAATCAATTGCATGTGTTAATTTTAAATAGCCATAATTCACCATGTGGGTCCAACATTTTAATCTATAATATTTCACAAAAACAAGAATAAATGCGTTGATAGATTAATGGAACATGAAAATCGATGTGAAAATTGAGGGTGTCCAAGAAATGATAATATATGCATGTCGTAAATCAATCTGATTTTTATGTAACTGAGAAAATAAAGTTGACAGGGAAAACGAAAAATTCATCTCGGGCACTCGTTTCCCTTCAAAAAATACAGTAAGTCACCCGTTACAGGTGACTCTGCTCTCAAGTGAAAGCTCAAATTATAAATGAATGATTTATGAGGAGAAATCCAGGAAGACAAGGATGAGATACGACGTAATAGAAAACAAATAACTCTAAAAAAAGTAGCGAACTTTGCAAACAATACGACCACGTTATTACCACGTGCTACCCCCCAGCCCCTTCGTCACAATTCGTGGAGGTGGTTTATGGAGAGGGAAACCACGTGTAGGGGGAAGATCGGAGAGAGGAGTGGGGGAAGGGTTTCGGAGGACGACCTCCGTTGAAATGGGAATGCGATAGCTAACTAAACTGAAATTAATTGTGTTTTCTGAATGTTTCTCATCTTAATTGAATTTTAAAGTACGCATGATATTGATTGAACCAAGACGTAAATATGTCAAAACAATTTCGTTGAGACCGCGTCGTCGCCTTATCAGCGGGATTACCCAACGGCGAGGTTGTGATCATTTAAAGTTCACACATTTGAGTAGACTTGCGTGGACTAGACAAACAAAACATCACGTGATAACCTAAAGTACTCGTTACTTGATTATTATGAAATTGGAATTGGAATAGATTTGGGTAGTTGGCATTACACAAGCTGAAGACTCGCAAATCTCACCAGGCATTTACCGTGGAAATATTTACGTTAGTTTGACGCTAAAAATGACAGATTTATATTTCAATAAATATATGCTCAATAATAATGCACTAATAACATTCTAACAAAGCTACATACAAATTTGCTCAAATTCGTTACGATTATTCGTTATTTTGCCTAAATAAAGTATTGTAGATTTTAACCTAAGGAATTTTTTTAACGTTGCAAAGGAATTTTTTTAACGTTGCTAAGGAATTTTTTTAACGTTGCTAAGGAATTTTTTAAATGTTGCTAAGGAATTTTTTAACGTTGCTAAGGATTTTTTTAACGTTGCTAAGGCATTTTTTTAACGTTGCTAAGGAATTTTTTTAACGTTGCTAAGGAATTTTCTGGTCTCATAATGATAACAATAATCATAACCATAACCATAACCAAAATGTGATTGGTTCATTTAAAATGCCAACAGCCAATCAAAATGCAGGAATGTCACGGAAAATTTCACGGGACGGACTTTTCGAAATTATAAAATAGATTGAGAGACGTGACTTATTCTTGTTTAAATATGCATATAAGTTTCTCAAATGTATCATTAGTTCTACAAGTAGTCAGCGATCATTTCCACTTTTAAGTGTTACTAGATATCGTACAAAAGTGGGGCAAAATTCGATCGAGTATAGAGCAAACTTTGGAACTCGCTGCCTCGTAGTTGGTCAATTAATATTACATATAATAAATTTGTTCAACAATTTAGGGAAATTTTGTTGACTCGGAACAAGAATTGTTATTTGTATTATTAGTTAAGTATAGATTAGTCGCTTCTTAAATTTATAGCAATTGTGTCATGGATTGAAAACCAGTTTATATTAATTAACTGATATTTGTTGACATATTAATAAAGGTTTACTTGACTTGACTTGATTCCTAGTTTTGTCAAACAAACATTGTATTCCTGTTTTCAAAATTCTTTTATGAAGTACTATTTTAAGTTCACGTTAATTTTAGTCATAATAACAATAATAAGTTGGTCTTTTTCAAGTTTAGGGAATTGGTTAAACGTCGACTTCTACATGATTATATGAACAAATATATGATTATATGATTATATTTATTTGGTTAGATGGCTGAGAGGTAATCATATTGGATACAGTTTTTGTAACCAGTGTCTTTCCTTAAGGTTTCATATTTCATTTGCAGCACAAAGATTTGATATTAGGGAAGCTGAATGAAGGTATTTACTAGGTTATTTACTAAATAATGTGTAACTAAATAGATTTAAAATTTCATCCATAATATTCGTTTCTGTAGAACTTGAAATGGAGAAAAGAAAATGATATCGACAATATTTTAAATTATACAAATTATACAACAATTCCTCAGTCCTGAAACGCGGGATGTGATAACCCTCTACGGGAAGGATAACAGCGAATGGAAAGCTGAATTTTTAACATCAATAGATGCTACTCAATTTACCACGGAGTTTGGAGGTGTAAACAACGAAAGTTATTCGATGGAGGATGTTAGAAAATTGCCATATATGAAGTGTCCTACACTCTGTCTCAAAATGAAGAGATAGTTTTGGAAAATGCTCTTATTTTTTAATGGTTGAATCCTGTGGCCTAAGGTTTTATTATATTATGGTAAAGGTCTTGCCACATTATCATGCCAAGTTTCATTTAAATTTGATTCAAATCACAAAATTTATGGACAACCACAAAAAATTAGTAAAATTCAACTGTTTCAAAAGTAAGAGATAGGGCGTTTTTCAGCAATTGAATTACCTAATAAGTTAACCTTTAATGGCTAAATAACTTTGCAACCTATTTTAACAATTAGAGGAACCCCCTTTGGCCAGAATTACGGAGATTATTCGTCGCTTCATCGAATTATTTAGGTGCCGAAGGGCCTCTAAAGGGATATTTTCCCTTTAGATATGATGCCGATTAATTTATGCATTTTAATATTTGGGTGTAAGTTACATATTTGGAAAATATGTCTAGTTTGCCGTTGATTCGGGATGCAGAAAAGGAAAAATAACGGAGGAGGAGGTAGAATTCAATGTACAGATCAAGATAGTAATTAATTTATGTCGTTAAAATTGATTATTTAGAAGAAGACAATAAATCAGTTAAGTAAAATAATGCAAGAATTTGATGAGAACGAGAATGATAGACGAGTCACCCGTGGAAGTGGTGCAGGTACGTCACTCTCGCTAATATTAGAATTGTTTTTCAACCCCACTTGGCATTGCTCTCTTGGATATGCAACACAGTTTAAATAAATGCTTACGCTTTTCTTTATCACCACATGTACTTGTATAAATAAAGTCTCTGAATGAATAAAACCCAAATCCACTTATCCCGATTTGTGATCATAAAATAAACCCGAGTTTCTAACAAAAGGCAGAAGATTATATTCACATGTACAGCACTGCCTGGTCTAAAAATACCAGATTTTAACCAACCCTTCCTCCCATCTCATTCATTCAGACTTTTCAATCCTTACATGTTACACATATCTTGCAAAAATAAGATAAACAAAAATTAATTAGACCACTTACTCAAATATTTCTCAATTTTCTCTCATGGCGTCCTTATTCACACCATACGTATCACCATCCCCAACTAATTGTGCATTCTGCAATATTTCTTCCACATGTGTTTGTTCATCTTGTAAAAAAGTTGCCTATTGTAGCAAACAACATCAGCAAAAACATTGGAAAGATCATAAACCTTTGTGTTTTCCAATTGTTTTGAAAAATAATAAAATTCTTGGGAGACACTTGATCACCACGAGAGATATAAAACAAGGAGAAATAATTTTGAAGGAGCAGCCACTAATTTCAGGTCCACATTTTGGAGAAGAAACCCCGGATTTTATAAACGGGCCAATTTGCTTAGGTTGTTTTAGACAAGTTGAGACAAATTATGCTTGTTCCAAATGCGGATGGCCAGTTTGTGGAGTTGAGTGTGAAATTGTATGGATTTGCATATTAATTATATTTTGCAAATTAATAATAGAATTATATTTTGCAGAATAAACAGCATTTGGAACTAGAATGCAAAATATTTACACAAGCGAACAGAAAGTTTGCAAGCTTAATGGAAAATTTACAAAACTTTAATATCTATGAAGCAATTACCGTTCTCCGTTGTGCTTTACAAAAAAGGGTGAACCCCAAAAATTGGGAGAAGATCAAGAGTCTCCAATCCAACCATGGGAAACTGAAGGAATCAGAAATTGGAATTAAATTAATTTCCGGCTGCATATCCTTTATTCGCGATTTTTGTCAATTAACAGATTTGTCTGATGAAGACATCTCCCATATTTTGGGTGTTATTGCAATCAATGCATTCTTTTCTGATGATGGCGTTCCCGTGGACGGTCCAAGAGTTTATAGGTTGCGTTGTTTAAATTGAAGAAAATTACTAATTTTTTTAAATTTGCAAATTTATTTATACCCAATAAATTCTTGTTTTTTTCAGAAATGGGACCTACCTTTACCACATTGCGAGCATGTGTGCCCATAATTGCACCCCAAACACGGCCTGGTCAATCAAATCCAACTCTGAAATGCATTTGATGGCCACCGTTTCAATTAAGATTGGAGAAAGTGTTACAATTTTGTATTGTGATGGAACCCTGCCAACGAGAGAAAGGAGGATGCAATTGAAGGAAGATAAGGACTTTGACTGCTCATGTGACAGATGCAGCAGTCCAAGTGAAATGTACAGTTATTTCACAGGAGTAAAATGTTGTGAGAAGTCTTGTGCGGATAATTTCTATTTACTTCCTGTGGATAGAGCAGGCGAAACTTGGAAATGTGAAAATTGCAATAAGGAAAAATCTAGGGAATTTATTGAATCAATTTATTCTAAAATTGATGCAGATTTAAATTCCTTGAATCTTGAGGATGATTTCACTCACAGTGCTGTAGAAAGATTGAGCAATGTTATTTCAAAATACGCGGGAGTGATGCTACACCAAAATCATTTTAAAATCTATAACATGGCGACAGAGTTGATCCAGAGAATTTCATTTCTATTATCGCAACAACAATCAAGAAATTCAAAGATTAAGAAAAGAGAAAATAAATTGGTGGGATTGCTACTTGATTATGGGGCGATGTTGATACACGTAACAGATATTATTTTACCAGGCTTAAATCGACAGAGAGGTATAGATTTTGAAAGGTTACACATTTTCGAAATTTATTTTATAATTTTTAAATTTAAATAAAACTTTTCAGGACGGATTTTATATTATATGCAAAAAGGGCTAATTATACGATTATTTGACGGAATCAAACATACTAAGGGTGGGGATACGTCCCAGTCTGATCAATGGAGAGCTAAACTGGACCAAGTGCTCAAAATAAGGAGAGAAGTTGGAAAAATATTTGCAGGCGAAATGGAAGGATTTGAAGAATTTTATATTGGTATGGAAATGACGATTGAGCATCCGGAAATATTAAGGCTTCAAAAGATTTTAGGAAATTGATTATGTTCACGGTAACTTGAATATGTTTGTAAATGAGTGCTCAAATAAATTAAGACGTATTGCTTCAATAAAAACTATACTAAATAGCATTAATAATCGCATGATTGTTCATAATTTGTCGTCCGTAACATCTTGCGACTGTTATATTAGGTTACGTGAAATATAGGCATAAGATGTAAGTAGGTAGAAGATTAAATGTATATAGGTATAAGTGCAGATGAAGACACATAAATTTGTCTCAAAAGATACAATCTCTTGAACTTGACTTTTACTTTCAGTGCAGTTCCTGGAAAAGAGACCCTTTTTGAGTCTCACTCTCTTAGTGATTATTACTCTGAGGAGGAAATCTCAAACATTCAATACTGTATTTAGTAGATATGTTTTGTTACACGATATGTACGTAATGGAGGAAAGGGGGTATAAAAAGGACCGTTGGACCACAGAACTGGACAGTTCTTGGAGACCTCTTTGCTCCATAACTTGTTTCCTTTCAAGTAGGGTGTGATTTCCACCGTCGTTTTATCCCTAAATCGGAGGTGCAATACTCCGGGCATTTTTGGATATTTCTTCATCCGAAAAGACTTTTGACTCTTTGACAGATCTCGAGACCACACTGACTCATAGAATTTTGGAGAGAAAGAATGTATAGATTTTAAAATAATTAGTCTAGTAATTTATCTGGTTAATTAAAAAAGGGTTTTAGTTATTAGGTAGTGATTTTATTTACAAAAGTTTTGATTCCTTCAGTGGTTTAATAGTGTATGTCAACAAGTGAAATTCGGGAGTAATTATTTGTGCAAATTTATCATTGGTTGAATAAATGATTAGAATTTCTGTGAAATAATTCTTGTGCATATTGCGGGCAAATTCTTTATAACAGCGACCATTTGTGACGTTTTTGTTAGAAGACTACAAGACATTCGAATATTACATCCGCCTGGATTTTATTTAATAAATTCAGGCTATACATACATCTACATTGGAGGAATACGCTTTGACTTTAAAAAACCGAAAAAAATTTGAAATCACCTTCACCAAGCCTAGCGACAGTCACGGTGAACTTCTCCCTCAATGCTGATCTGCGTAAAACAGTGGGATATGTTCCGGCTGATAGGCATTACAAGCTTTTGTATGTTGGTGGTGGGTTCCAAAATCGGAATTATAACTATAATGTAATTAATGAATGGTCACAAATATGAGATTTGCGACATCTATATATCTTCATAATGTCTTGGTTTCCCTATTTATAACAAGGAGGCGCTCAAAAGTAAAGTCGAACCGTAACTGGGTTTTGAGTTAATAATTAACCTCCATGGGACCAAATACACACAATTGTGTGATATTTTATTTTCCCTTGAGGACGAAATATACAAATATGTGTAATTTAAAATTTACTATTGACAACCAAAATAGATGGGAAAAATATGAAAAACGGATCAACTACATTGCCAAATGTGGAAAAATTCATGGTAAAAAGTGGATTTTATAACCTAATTTTTAAAATTTTTCTATATCAACGCCATGCACAAAAGTTTAATTTTCGAGTTGTTTGATATCTTGTCAGTTTTGAGTTTTGCAATTCTAAAATAAATCAGTCGCTAACCAGTTTTTCTTTTCAAGTGATTTCATTTGGTACCCAAGAGGTTAATGATTATTATTCCATTGATAAATGTCGCAATTATTTCATAATAAAACTCAATAAATTCTTTTCCGTAGAATGCAGAGATAACATATTTATTGCTTTTACAATATATTTTGTAATAATTTATTTAATAATGATGCTTATAATTTGCTAAAGGTTTGAGCCTTTGGAGAGTTGGTATTATTGCCAAGTGTTCCCAAGTAAATTAAAGTAGTTGCAAATTTAATCACTTCCTCTTTTAATGCCGATTAGTTAGAACAACTGGCCTATCAATGAATTCGTTTGGTAGCAACTTTTACTTTTATGATCGAAGCGAAAATCTTGATCAATTCTTAAGTCTGTATTATTTATAAAAATTCTGGCAAACATTTGCCTCTGGAAGAATTGCAGTGCGGCATCATCATTCCTTCCTGGATCATTGTTTACACGGTTTATCTTCAATAATGGTATGTGTGTCAGGATATTTTCTAAAAGGGGTAAAATTCAGATTTTTAGAATTCTACTCAATATATTTTTTTCTACGATTTTGTAGCATCAGGCGGAGGTACTATGTATGTAATTCTACCGACTTAGATACGATTTGGCTCCGGAGGGTGACATTTATACGGTCGCTAAATTCTGCCTAATGTCATATCAGTAATAAAATTGTTACCGACGTTGTTAACAATGTGTTACTCTGGGATGACAAATTGTATCTGTAATTGTTACCTGTGGGTAGAATTTCATACTACCTTCGCCGGTAATATTATTGTTCCCCAATTATTTAGAGTGTGCAAAAATAAGAGTTAAAATTTTACTTGATCTATCAACGGGAATTGGTACTCCCAAGTATTCCGTACGCTCCGAAAATTGCATCCCATTTGTGAATGGGGTTCTAAATTTAGACTTATTTAAGACATTTTTTAACAGCTTTTTGACATCCTCGTCACCCATATTGGCCATGATTCGTAACCATAAAGAACGTTTTGAAACGTTTTTGGTTTCAAGATCCAGTAAAATTTCGTTCGTAAGGAATAATCTGCCTTTGGTAAACATTTCAAATACGATGCAACCATACGCCCACCAGTCAGAGTTAAGGGTCCAATCGTTACAATAGTTTTCTGGGGCCCAATATCCCTTCGTGCCAAGTTGGTGAAGCTCCCTTCGTACTTTCCCCTAATTCAAGAGGATTCATTTATGTCACAAATACTTGAGGAAATGTAACATTTACCTGTCTCAATTTAGCGGAACAACCAAAATCCCCTATTTTGATGTGAAATTTTTGATCTAGAAAGACATTTGCCGGTTTCAAATCTCGATGAGCAACTCCGAAACTGTGTAACGCTTCAAGTCCCAGTCCTAACTCGACGGCAAAAATTTTTGCATGATCTTTTCTAAGTAATTTGGTGAAATCCAATAAACTGCCTATTTCACATATTATAATATTTTAATTCATTAATTCCAACTAATTTAATATATATTAAGGTCATTACCCTGCATCAAATCTGTGACAAAATGAATATATATATCTGACTCGTATGCGTACAATAGACGCACAATTGCATCAGAAATGTTGCCACATTGAAGAACTTCAGATTCCAGGATGGACCCGTTATAAATTTTAAGAATAGATTTCACCGCGACTTGTTCCCCGGTAGGGAGAAACTTTTTCTGTTTGGTAAGTTTAGTAGAATTTAGGTCGCAAATCGTTAAAAATATCGTAGATACAGAGTGGCCTTAGCTGTTAACCAAAAATACCAGGTCACTCCTCTACACTATACTTCTGGTGTAAGTTTAGTAAAATGTGACAAAAAAATATTGCATGAGAAATATGTGGCGAAAAACCAAGATTACACCCGCTATTTCTTAGCTAAAATATTTTTAATCGTCGTACTTTACTGATTTCACGTAAGAAATAGGGGGCGTAACATTGCTTTGTTGCAAAATATCAATAAAATGAGGACGTTATATTTGTTAAAAAATAACCAAGATCTACATTCGGTGGAACTGCTGATCATCCTCACCTAGTGCGCTCGGTTCCAATGGTCACCGAAAGGGGGACGGCCGACCAATACCAATCAAAATGGCATGAAATGTGCAGAAATATGTTATCAATCAGTCTATTCATCAAAAACTTGTAGAAAGTTATCTAGATGCATTTTATACGACATTAACATGGAGAAATTCATAAACGGGCTCGCAACTACTGCTCATCCGCTTAAAGCAAATTCCATTTATTTTTAGATTTACCAACTTAATTTTACAATTAGTAGTTTGTGTGACCACCCTTGGCCATCAGGACTGCATTGACTCGATTTGGCATCGATTCCACTAATTTCGCTGTTGTTTCCTTCTGGATGTTGTTCCATTCTTCGTCCACAATTGAAATTAAATTTGTTCTGGAAGTCGGGTTCCTTTCAGCAACTTTTTTCTTCAAAATTGACCATAAATGTTCAATTGGATTTAAATCCGGGCTCTGTGGCGGCCATTTCATTACGTTTACCCGTTTTGTTTGCAGCCAATTCGTGACCAATTTGGACGTATGTTTGGGGTCCCCGTCTTGTTGGAAGACAAAATTCTTCCCTAGTCGCAGGCTGTTCCGAGATTTCATCAAATTTCGGTCCAAAATCCCTTGGTACACTTCTTTCGTCATAATTCCTTCAATTACTTCCATGGTTCCCACGCCTTTCCACGACATTGCACCCCAAACCATAATGGACCCCCCACCATGCTTCACGGTCTTCTTGGTACAGTTACTCTTGACTCGTTCTCCTGGTTTTCTCCAGACAAAAACTTTGCCATCTGATCCAAATATGTTTATTTTGGTTTCGTCACTCCAAAGAACTTTTTTCCAATCGGATACGGACCACGTGGAGTGACTCTTCGCCCAATCCAAACGCTTCTTAATTTGGGGCTTTGTCAGCAGTGGCTTTTTGGTTGCGAATCGGCCTTTAAACCCCATATTTCGGATCCGATTTCGAATAGTGGAATCAGAAATCTTCGTACCAAACTGCTGAGCCAATTCCACATTGATTTTTCGGGCAGATAAGAAGCGATTGGAATTTGCTTTCTTCTGGATAAGTCGGTCGACTCGAGGAGTGGTAACACGACGGCGGCTATTTCCCTTCAAATCAGTAATTGTATGGTATTTCTTCCATTTCGACAGCATGGATTTGATGGTGGGAATCTTCACTTTCGTCTTGTTGCTGATTGCTGTAGGTTTCAATCCTCTCTCGTGGTAACTTATCACCAATTTCCTAATGTCGTGCGACAAGTGTTTTCCAGGCATTTTCAGCTCTGAAAAACCAAAATGACAATGAATAAAATGGTCTTCATTACTTGAATTAATAGTAATCAAGATGCACTTACCCGCATAAAAAAATGATAAATCAAGAAAATTGTTTCCACTCGAAAATTGTGTTTTTGTTGTGGCGGATGAAGACTAGTTGCGAGCCCGCTTGTCTTACTCTATGCTCATTCCGTGTAAAATGAGTGCAGTTAACTTTTTGGAAGTTTTTGCTTAATTGACTGATTTAGTACATATTTCTGCACGTCTGATGCTTTTTTGACATATATTGGTCGGCTATGCCCCTTTCGGTGACCATTGGAACCGAGCGCACTAGGTGAGGATGATCAGCAGTTCCACTCAGTGTATGTAGGATGTATAATATATGATGTAACCAATATGAATGTGGATCTGCGAAAATTCTTGAACACCAACAATTATGGGTGGATATTTGCAAACTCAAATAGTAGCCGTTGCTCATATAGTGACCTTGCTCAAATAGTAGCCTTATGCTCAACCATATTGTAGCCGGGTCCCAGTCACCAATTTTGTAAATAGTAGCCCCGGCTACTATTTGAGTTTTTACGGTAGTTTAGTTAACTGAGTTATGTATGATTGTGCATGATTGAATGTAATGACATGATTTTGACTTTAATCAGTATCTGAAACTACTCTGTTGGACTAACTACTCTTAAATCCCAAAAATATTTACCAGGTGTAGCAAGTTAGGACCACTCTGTACATATTATAAATACCTTTGTAACGTTCCCATACGTTCCCACTGATATGTCAGACACTAGTTCGAAATCTTTATCTCCAATTCCAAAATCCGAAAAGTCGTCATTATTATTATTAATTTCTTGGATAGCTTTAACCCGTTCATTTTCAATATGAGTATACGCTATGGGTTCTGGATAAGCCCCATATTTCGTGGAACTGAAGTAATAAAGTAGTTTCTTGCTGAGTGGGATGGGAATATTCACACCTAACTCCGAATATTTAAGTCTTGGATACATGTAAAAGTAGTACAGGTCCAAAATATTGTATTCGTTGGGAACCAGTAAGAATCTCTGCGTTTTTTAAAAAAAATCACAACATTAATATTAGAGAGGTAAAAATCGCGTAGTGTTTCTTTTCGAACATCCAAAACGGTTTGGAGTTAAAACCACTTTTGTCAGAGTGGGGAAAAAACTGGCTTTGACAATTTTTGTCCAGATAAAATTGTGATTTAGGGGTCAAAAGCGGCCTTTTGGCCGCTTTTGCCCTGTACAGTCCGGTTTTTTCACTCGAAATACTGACAATGGAGGTCTCCCAACGTATCCTCACAGATTTGGACGAAACTGGTGTCAATCGATCACAAATTTAATTAGTATGAAATTTTCAAATGCAACTATCTGCCAATACGCAGGTTTGGCGGAGATATTTGCATAAACAGAGGCGAAAACGCGCCCAAAATGCCATCAATTTTACACTTTTCGAATTTTGCCTTACAAATTTGCGAGTTTTCACCTCTTTTTATGCAAATATCTCCACTAAACCTGCGCATTTGCAGATAGTTGCATTTGCAAATTTCATACTAATTAAATCGTGATCGATTGACACTAGTTTCGTCCAAATATGTGAACATACGTTGGGAGACCTCCATTGTGAGTGTAGCCCATTTTCGGTATTACAGGTAGTGACATCATTACTTATCTACAATCCAAAGCTACGTCTTTTCAATAAAAACTGACCACTGTCTCCAACTGTGACTGTAGCTTGAAATTCCCGCGTGGCGATTTCTCATCTTAGACTGGCCATCATTGCTTCAGCATGAGAATAGGGAAGAGGAAAGCGAGATTTTTCAAATTTTCCACATTTTTTAAGCTACAACCACAGTTCAATTTCTCCACCTCTAAAGCTACACCTAATTGTGACTAATTCTATAATCACACTAACAATATGGTGGATTTGTACCTCTCTATTATTACTACCATGTTAAAGTTAATTAAAAGTTTAGAGAAACATACCACAGTGAAGAAAGTTATAAACACGTAAATCAAAAGTTGTTGGACACTGCAATCCGGCACAAACCAGTATCGTCCTCTCACATATGTCACAGGTTTAGAAGAAACATAAAATCTGACGGAATTCGGGTAGGAATATTTCTTCAAAATATTTGCATCACTTTCACCAATCAAGGTTAATGAGACCGATACTCCTGGCGGTGTTTTGTACCCGGTGGGGATATTGTACCCAATAATGCCACTGTATCCGGCACGTTTCGCTAATCTGAGACGTTGTAGGGGATCACAGGAAAACTTCCAATTATCCAGCAGCATCGTGCTTTTCGAGCCTCGTACTTGTTTCAATTTTCCACAATCTTCATAATCATCCTCATATACTAGGAAACCCTGGGGTACATAAATCTAATTAAATTTCAAGCAAACGGAATATTTAATCAGGGTTATGACTGGTAAAACCTACAGTGCAGACTTGAGATAGCCCGAGCCAAATTTGGAGAGTACTAATGTGATATCCAATTTGATATTTCATACTCACAAGGGAAGGTCCCCGACTGCTAACCGTGTCCAGGTTACCCACTATGTTTTTTAGAATTTACTAGGACCCCAGACCAAGGATTCATTCATATTTACGTGTTAATCGCATATTTGGCGCCATGGCGTGGCGCCAAGCTTAAAAATCTGCGTTTTCGACCAATTTCAAACCTCCATTACTTTTGTAATTTCCGTCGGATTTTCAAAATTTTGGGCTACAAATGATCACAAAGATCAAAATTTTAAGAAAAAAGTAAAAATTTAAATTTTTTATTTTTGATATATTTTTTAAAAAAGTTTCGCCAAAAAGTTTCTAGGAAAATCCAAAAATTTTGACAAAAATTGAAACAATCAATATTTTGAAAAACTGGATGGCATACGAAAGTTGAACTCTTTTTCATGATTTTTGGAATTTTTTTTGAAAGTCCGCCCAGGATTTCAAAAGTTATGGCGGTTTTAAAAATAAAAACATACAAATTTGTCGAATTGGGCGCCACGCCATGGCGCCAAATATGCGCTTAACACGTAAATATGAATGAATCCTTGGTCTAGGGTCCTTGTAGATTCTAAGAAACATAGTGGGTACCCTGGACACGCTTAGCAGTCGTGGACCTTCCCTTGTCAGGTGTCATTTCCAACCACCATACCAAATTTCAGCTCAATACGACAAGTTTTAGAAATCGGTATGGGTGACCCAGTGTAGGGTCCCTCAAGATGAAAATTTTTGCAATGTGACATGAAAATATTTCACTAGAAACCTTTAGGGTCATCCATACCAAATTTGAGCTTTCTAAGATAACTATTAAAGTTTGGTTCATAATAAACCAAACCGAATATTCTGCACCAACCCCTCAATCAACATCACTGATCTGACCCCCACCGGTCTAAATCTATTTTGATCGCACCTATCTTCGAACTTAGCCTCGACCTGGCCGAGATAAGAGTTGGTCAAAATCGGTCCAGTGGTTCATCCGGTGGACCGTCACGGACAGACGCATAGACCGACAGACAGACAGACGGACATGACGGTTCCATAAGCCCTGGCTCGGGCTAAAAACCAAATTTCCCAGGGTAGAGAGAAAAAGTGGGATAAATGCACTTTTTCGTTACTAACCCAAAGTCGATGGGAAAAGGTGGGATATTGTAGAGATTTGAAAAAACTTATCTGAAAGCTAATATTTTGAAAATCATCTTCGTGTTCTCCACGAAATCCTGAGAAAATGAGTGGGTATCACGATTCCAATTGAAGAATCTTAAAATTAGCATTGTTGAAATGGGAGAATTTAAATATGAGCAGTTTTCATGAGTGTTTCGGTCAACCTCGAATAAGAAGTTAGATTCCAGAAATATTGATTTTTAAAGAAATTAAGTTTTTCCATAACTAAATAAATTGCCCATTTTCAACATGTTTGGACGGTATAAACCACTTTATCCCATTTATCCCACATGCCCTGGAAAAAATGTGTTTTTTGACGGGAAAATCTTAACCCTATATATAATACATATCTAGTCAAATTAATTTATTAAACTGACCATTGAGTCGATCATTGAGTCGAATTCGATTTCCTGCACTCCATCCACAGTTAGGATTGTCTCTCCAGATCTTCTTTTAATTATGGATATCTCAGTTTTCTCAAATTCTTCGGATTTATTTGTAAGTATTATAGTCAGAACGGCTACTAGTAATGTTAGACTGGAATAGTGATTTATCTTGTACCAATTCCATGCTCTAATTATTCTAGGAAATCTTTTCAAAGTAGTGACAATATTTATATTCATTTTAAAAAAAACGTTCCAATTCAATCCGTCAAGCAGGAGGAAACGTTTAGTTTTACTGATGACTAAATTTGTGCAACTATTCGACCACATAAATATCGCCTTTATCAGCACGATAATATCTATGTAATCTTTTACACAACACGAAATACGATGATTCATTGCGTTGCGAAATAAGGAATAGATAGCGAAATTGCGTTGCGAAATATATTTCGCAATGATATCATGATACCTCAGCTGGGTTGTCAAACACACATTTTTAAATATTTTGTAGTGGCGTCCAAATGTGACATTGAGAGAGAAATGTAGACCCAAATATCGAACATAGTAATGATTAGATAATTATTATTTTTGCCGAGATTATTTTAAATTTCGTAAATATGTAGATAATGGTGATCATCTACATATTGACAATCACAATTATTGTCTGTGAACTAATTGGATGGATGTTCCATCACTACAAAGTACAGGCAACGTTTCATATCTGTTTAATTTATTCATAAACGTTCCTCTAATTTCTGATAAGTACGTTTCTGCATGTATTGCTGCTGAGTTTGCACAATGGGTGGTTGTTTTGTTAAATTAAGTAAATACATACGTGCTTAACTTATAGCATGCGTAGGTACATATATACATGAGGACATTGTAATAAAACATAATGATTCATTCAGTGTATTTATCTTATTTATTCTCAAACAAATTCCGCACCGAGCGATGCTTATCAAGGTCCATGTATGCTTCAACTGAATGTGGAAACAATAATTAAAATCTGAAATAAGAAATCGGGGTAATTGTTGTATAGGGAGGTTTATAAAAATTGCAACATTTTATTTTTTACTGATTCTAGAACTTGTCACCGTGCAAGTGACGGATCACATCAACTTAAAAGTATCGATTTTACATCATGGGTAATCATCCACTTAACGTTTAATATAAAGGGATTTCCAATACAACAATTTACAATATTTTATGTAGTAATTGCTTCCATGTTATATATAAAGATTGGTTCATCGGGATTGGAGGCCATGTTTTTGAAATTGTTTAATGTTGACAAGCTTTCGGTACATACAAATACCTTCATCAGGTCACAAAAATTGAGTTCGGATTATAAATGACAAGTACATACATATATGATTTTTGGAAAATAATAAGTAGATTTGGTAATTATAGTGATTGACAGTTTAAAAAAATAATTTGCAATATTCTAACTGGTAATGTGAGTAAGAGATATGCAATTGATTTGACAATGACTACAACTTTGAACTCCTAGTGTTACCAATCAGACCTAGGGACCAACCAAGCTAATGGACTCGCATCGTCCAGTGAAATTAAAAATTGGACTCCACAGTTTGATAGGTTAAAAATGCGTTTATTTTCAATGTTAAAAGATTTTCTTCTCAAAACCCTTCCTACACGTGGTACATTTATACATACTTTGTGCTTGCACCGGATGCAGCGAGCATTTCCTTAATTCCCGACGGAAAGCTGTGGGTCACATTCTTTTACACTAAAGTCGAATTTTTTTCTCCACTTTTCGAAATCGTCGAACCAGGGATGCACGTTCGTAAGGAATTTGAAGCCTGTAGCCATATGCTGTTATATCAGCTTTAAGTTCAGGCCAGGTCTTCTTACCCCAAGTGATCAAATTCTGATCTCAAAAGTCAAAAGTTGCATGGTGACATTTTCCGAATGTGCTGACACCATTCTGAATAAATGTAATTTTGTCTTGTTTGGAAAAAGTCTCTTATTTTTCATAGCGTTGAAGGCACCATTTGGTCACGATAATACTCGGCATTGTTATTTTAGCCAAGAGAGATGATGTGCAAAGATATCAATTCTCTGATGCAGTACCAGCCAGCAACCAGAATCTTCAGTCGGTTTTTTGTCCTTGTTGTTGGACAGCTCCATTTTTTCCCCTAGTCTAAGAATTCCGAGTATGATTAAGGCAAATCCTTGTTTCATCAGTATTGAGGGTGTGGCGTCGTTTTATTTCACCGTCAAAAACTCGTTTTATCTCCAGAATATGGCCAAATTTGACAAGATCTAATTTTTTGTAGGATCAAAGTGGCTTCTAGGGACTGTTGTATGTCCCTATCCAGTAGATTTTATATGATTATTTTGAGTGGTTACATGGTTTATTAAGTAGCGCAAGCTACTTTATGCGATCGTTAGTTAGTCTGTCCGTCCGTCCGTCCGTGCGTCCGTCCGTGAGCACTAAAACTCGAGAACGGTTTGTCGCAGCGACCTGAAATTTTGAACACATGCTCTACACGGGTAGGGGGTGACACCCTATTAAGGGGGTGTGGCCACTTTGTCGACATCATGTCGAAAAGCGTCGCCATGGCCTAATTTCTGCATTTTTTGAGCGATTTGCATGAAATTTGGGCAAAACATGTTTTTTGGTGTTGTCGACATGTCGCAATATGGCGATTAAGGTTTCGAAACTTTTTTCGCCAAATTCTGTCGCCATGGCCTAATTTAGGCATTTATCGGTCGATTTGCATGAACTTTGGGCAAAACATGTTTTTCGGTGTTGTCGACATGTCGCAATATGGCGACTAAGGTTTCGACGAGAAATTTTGTCGGCATGCCCTAATTTCGGCATTTTGCGGTCAATATGCATGAAATTTAGGCAAAACATGTTTTTCTGTTGTCAACATGTCGCAGTATAGAGCATGTGGTCAATTAATTAATTAATCAATCATTAATCAATTAATTAATTAATCAGTCATTAATCAATTAATTAATCAATTAATTAATCAATCAGTCAATCAATTTATTAATTACTTTAATTAATTAATTTAATTAATTTGAGCTTTATAGCGCAAATTAATTCTCAGCATTCTCAGCATTCTCAGCATTATTGCGCTACTTATGTATCGTGCTTTGCCGCACTTTATTATCTTAGCAAACCGTTTGAATTTATTTTACAGATAGAGGCCTGCAGCACATTTTCCCCTGCTGCCCAATTTTCGGTACCTCGTCTCCTTATTCATATTTTGTATGTAGCTTTGATGTATTTTGGATCGACCTGGTCGTTTTTTGTCGCAAACTGACTTACGGTTCGAGGAAATTTGTCAAAGATAGTTTTGACATTTGTGTACGAAAGCTTCATGTGCCAAAAATTAGGGATCATGTCGAAATAAAAAATATGTCGTTGCATCTACAATTTTTTGACATAATGTATTACGTCTTCAAAAATTCTCGATTTTAGCACCCACCCACCCAACATAAACATTAAGGGATAGGGAATTTTAACATGGGAAAGATAGGAAGGCCTAAACCACCGACGCACTAAAATGATGACGTAATATATGGACGTTCCCTATGGTTAATTTTTTTTCTACATTCAAAATCCAAGTTCATACATAATTTTTATATCAACATGTGCATCAGAGCCTCCTCCACACAGTGGTATAATTTTTGAAACCTGTTATTTTGGTTTCTGAGCATTATTCGTACTCAAAATTTTTGGAAACATAACTATCGGAGGAATACATGTTGCTGGGGCTCTAATAGTTGGATATACACCGGACCGTGCTGTATGCATTGAGATAAGTTCAATCCTATACTTGTATATATCCTCCCGGCGATGACTTCCTTGTATGTCCATTCAATCCTAAAAGATACTTTCACCACTTTTACTTTGAATCAGGATGCATGTAACACACAGCCCAAGTAATGGACTCTTATCCGCAGCAACAAATAGTTCAGGAAATTTGGTTGGGACCTTAATAATTCCAACAGCAATGTTTCTATTTCTCTACCACTGCTGAAGAAAACTGTTGCTGAAGTTATGCGGGAGACATTAACATCAAAATTCGACTCTTTATCTGCTGAATTTGTATAAAAAGTTGGATCAGTAGTTAACCGAGTTTCGGAATTGGCAAGGCGACAAGATAACATTGAAGCCGCTTTGAACTCGATTTATTCAAATATTAAGATGGAAGTAGCTGCTGTTATGGAGGATATTAAAGAGAAATCTCACAGGCTACACAAAGCTCTTAATATTTTAATTACAGAGCTGTCTCTCTCTCTGGAACACTATTCCAAAGCAAATTAAAGCATGAAGTAATTATGATCAATTCAAGAGCCGTCTTCAGGGTAATTTATTAAACAATTGAATGTGAGATCTTTTCGTATTGGGTCAGAGATATTTGGTATTATTTTCCTATCCAATTTTAAGTTTCATTATGTTATTATATTTTGACTTGCTATTATTCTTCAATACATTCTTGCCTCAGTCAGTTATGTTTTACTTTAATGTTTAAATGCTTATCAACAATCATTCTTGTATTTCCCTGATGACAGGGTTAGGATTTCCGAATTTTTGTATAGTTTTGAGATATAAATGGAAATTAATCAATTTAAATAAATAGGTCCGCTTCTGACTTGGAAAACTAAAAAAAAATATATATTTGTAAATCCAAATACTGGCAATTTCTGGTTGCAAAATATTTGCAATGTAGTGGTTAAGATATTGAAAAGACACTGTGTAGGTATTCAACTAAAAATGTGTGGAAGTACTACGGGGGTAATGGTTGGGATGGTGTCAAAGTTCGAGAAGCAACCATAGTAAAACTATTAATTAGTGTTCCATATCAATTCGGATTTTCAGTAGAAACTGAAAATCCGAATTGATATAATCTTATTGAGAGAGCCCGCTTACACCAAACAGGCTAAAATTTGCATGTGGCATAAGATTTGATGACTTGCATTTACATTATTCTAATTTATTCTAATCCGTATTTCTGATATATGTATTATGCATTCTTATTTTAATCTAATCTATTTTAATTTTCCAAAATTCAATTGCAACTGATCGCGCGGAAAGGTTATTAGTAGCGTGATAGTCCAATCAATTATAGAGCTCAAATATGTTCCAAGAACTGGCTTGTCCACTTCGAAGAGGTTAGTTCCATTGACCCCCGCATATACTTTAACAGGTCTCAGGGCCCTGAGTGTCGTACTTATGAGTCGACGCTCGCCTTGAGCCCGTACCCGATTTTTCCAATATGTTATAATTTGTCCAGAAGTTGTGTTCGCTCGTATGGCCAGTGGAAGT